CGACGCCCATGAAGTCGTTGCCCGAGGCCAGATCCTGGTCCCACACCGTGACGACGAGCTCGCCCGCGCCGTCCTCCGCGGGAAGCACGAAGCCCTCCTGCCACGTGGGCGCGAGGCACTTGGGCTTGCAGGTCGAGCTCCTCTTCTCGCCGCCGAGCTCGAGCGTCACCAGGGGATCCGACGAGCCGCCCTTGCTCAGGAGATGCCGGTCCATGACCGCGAGGCCTTTCGCTCGGAGCAGGTGGACGGCGATCGCGTTCGCTTCCTCGCCGGGGTGCGACTCCTCGGCGAGCATGGGCGGCGGCGTCGGGAGCGCGCGCGAGGGGTCGTGCCACCAGCGCAGGCAGAGCTCGATGGACCTGTGTGGAAATCAAATCTTCAACCCGACTTCAATGTGCGCGTACTCGAACGATGTGGACCAGACTCTTTCGCTGCGCTTCGAGAACTCGACGAGAGCAATCGATCCGTCCAAAAATCAGCCGAATCGACTTCGATTTGATTGAGATAGAGAGTTCTGAAGTTTGGTGGGGACCCCCCAAACCAGTGGTTGATTTCCACACAGCGACGGACCCCTGGGCCGTGTCGCCGGCCTTCGAGCGGAGCGCGTGCCACGCGCGGTGGACTTTGCGGTCCGCGAGGGACTCCAGATCGACCCGCACGTCGCCCATGAAGTCGTTGCCCGACGCCAGATCCTGATCCCACACCGCGACGACGAGCTCGTCCTCTCCGTCCTCCGCAGAAAAGGCAAAGTCCTCGAGCCACTTGGGCGCGAGGCACTTGGGCTTGCAGGTCGACGTCTGCTTCATGCCGCCGATCTCCAGCGTCACGACGGGATCCGACGAGCCGCCTTTCGAGAGGAGGTGCTTGTCCATGATCGCGAGACCTTTCGCGCGGACGACGCGGACCGAGAGGCAGTTCGGCGCGTCGCCCGGCTTCGCCTCCGCCTCGAGCATGGCCGCGGGCGTCGGCACCGCGAGGGCCGGGTCGTGCGCGGCGACCAAGACGAGTTCGACCTTGCCGATGCCCGGGTCGCCGCGCTTGTCGAGGAGCCCGTGCCACGCGCGGCGCGGCTCCCCCCGAAGGTCGAAGATCGCGGCCACGTCGACGTCGAAGCGGCCCATGAAGTCGTTGCCCGAGGCGACGTCCTGGTCTTCGACGAGCACCGACACGGTCTGATCTCGTTCGACCTCGAGGCTAAAATCCTCGCGCCAGATCGGGTCCAGGTCCTTCTTCTTCACCGTCGACGAGACCGTGGTCCCGCCCGCCTCGAACGTGACGATGGGGTCGCTGCTGCCGCCCTTGGACAGCAGGTTCTTGTCCATGATGGGCAGCCCGCGGGCCCGCAGCAGACACACGCGCACGCAGTTCGGCTCGTCGCAGGCCGCGGCACCGACGAAGGGCGTCGCTAAAACCGCGTCGGCCTCGTCGTAGACCCAGCGCAGCGCGACTTCGACCTCGCCCTGCGCCGCGCCGCCCGCCGCGTCGGTCAGCGCGTACCAGGCCGTCGTCGTCGCCTGGTCGCGCAGGTCCGCGAGCGGCACGACGAAGCAGCCCATGAAGTCGTTGCTGCCGACCAGGTCGTAGTCGTCGACGACCGCGAGGAGCTGCCGCTCGTCGTCGTCGGCGGCGAGCGAGAACTGCTCGTTCCACGTCGGCGCGAGCGTCTTCTTCTTCACCGTCGACGCGCAGGTCGTCGCGGATCCGAAGCTCCGCAGGCCCGCGTCGACGACGGCGAAGGTGACCACGGGATCCGAGCTCGCCTTGCCCATCAAGCTCTTGTCCACGGCCGGCAGGTCTCTCGCTTGCTTCAGGTAGACGTGCAGGCGCGTCGGCGCGCCGTCGGCGGCGCTCGACGCGCACGCGAACTGCGCCGGCAGCGCCATCCCAGGCGCTGCCCGTCGTGTGCTGGAATCTGTCAGGCGGTAAACATGATAAGTTGACACCACCGGCTACGGCTGCGAATGAGCCGTCGTTGAACAAGCACATCTATGAAGCAATGCTGCAGTAATCCGTAGCTAAGAGACGGTCTCTCGTGCGAGCATTTCAGCGGCCGATGGTGGAATCTCCACCTTAGAGGGCCCCGCGCTCCTCGAATATGCAGCGACGTGCAACGATCCCAGTGGCTTTGAGGTCCGCAAACATGTGGGTGAGGCACATGAAAAGACGCGACATCCGGACGATTGCGAGGCGACGCAAACGGGCAGCCCCA